AGGTTTTTGTTTTCCTTTTTCAAGTAGGATTTGTTTATCCTTAGTAGTTTTGGGAGTAAATTCGTCGCCTATATAAGGAGGCCAAACTATTGTATTTTTCATTCAAGTTTTCATCAATCAAATACAAGTGAGTTTGTGTGAGTTCAATTGTGAACGTTTTTGCTTAATTTCTCCTTTGAGGATTCGGGAGAATTGAGTGGTCTCTTATCAAATAGAGAACGCGTCTAGTTGTGGCCAACATCGACTATACCGGTTGGCCTTATCCACGGGTTCGAGATTGTTTGATTTGTTTCATATACCAATTGGCCCTTCTCACGAGTTCGGATCTGTTTGATTGATTTCCGCGACTATCTTTTATTTTCGTGTTATTTAAGAAAGAAGAAAACCACAAAAGAGTTCGACGTTGCGCAATTCTGATTTTTGGTCCAAGTTTGAGTGGATTCTTGAATTGGGATCATATCAAGTGGTATCAAGAGTCCGGTTCAAACGCAGCGTAGAAGACAAAGATTCTTGAAGTTCTTGACGGTTTCTTGAAGTAGGTTTGGTTTTCTTGAAAATTAAGAATTGACCAAATAAGACGACACCAGCCTTTGGGAATACATCACAATGCTAGAAGGAATTCACCGCGATATCAATATAAGGACGACTATGAAAAATTCAAAGATGATGATGGTTACCCACATGAAGATGAGGATGAGTTGAGGGGGATCAAAGTCAACATCTCGTCGTTCAAGGGGACAACCAACCCTAATGCCTATCTTGATTAGTAGGAGATGAAGGTCTTCTTCGAAAACTATTATTATTTGGAGTGGAAAAAGGTGCAAATCGCTTATATGTCATTCACGGGTCATGCTATGGTGTGGTGGGATCAGTTATGCAACAAGAGGAGATGGAATAGCAACGACCTATAGAGACTTGGGAAGACATGAGGGAAATCATGAGAGATCGATTTGTTCCAGACTACTATCAACGTGAGATGCATCAAGCTTTTCATTTTCTTCGACAAGGTTCTAATAGCGTGTATTATTATTTTAAGAATATGAAGCGCCTAATGGCTCGAGCTGATTTTGATGAAGATGGGGAGGAAACTATAGCTTGATTTCTCAATGGTCTTAATCTTGGAATAAGGCATGTGGTGGAGATTCAGCCTTTTATTGATTTGAATAAATTGGTACAAATGGCAATCCAAGTGGAGAGCATCAAAGAGAGGTTATACACAATGGATTGCTTCTTCAACCAATCCAAGTTTTTCAAATGCAGCAAAGGCTTCATATCCACGACATGAAGATCTCAAGCTCATCCTCAAATCAAATCCATCACCTATATCTTCAAGGGTAACGTGCAATGACAAAACTCGATCTGATTTTCGTTCTAGTGATGTTATGTGCATTTCTTATTTTTGGTCCAAGTTCGAGGTTCTCTTCGAATTAGGGTCATATCATATAGAGATCCATCTAATGAACTCATTCGGAAAACCCATAGCATCTAATAGAGTAAACAAAACCCCCCCGATCGACAGAGTCAAAGGCCTTCATCAAATCGACTTTTACAACACTACGAGGAGATATGTGTTTTCAGGTATACTTTTATATTATTTCATGAGCAAGAATTATATTTTCACCTATTACTGCATAAAGATAATTAGCATAATACATAATGGAGACCCTAAAGGCCCTGTGCGAGAGGGCATCCTTGCACACCCATAAGCCCAGTCCTGCCTCAAAATGTTTCAGGATGGTAATTATGGGGAGGGTAAAATTCTAATTTTTTTAAAAAAATTAACGAAAGATAATCATCTATATATATTAGAGAAAAGATAATTACATCATGGACTGAAGTCAGGCAAGAAAATCAAAGAAATGACTCGGAGTTGGGTACAAAGAAAGGGCCCTTCTAGCCACCATATGGGTTACCCTATTGTTACGCCGTCCTACAAATCGCACACTAAGCCCGCCGTGAGTTGCAAAACACTGCTCGACCTCTTCGAGTATGGCTCCAAATCGATTATTATGGGTATCCATCCGATTAATCTTGTCAATAATCACCATGGCATCGCCCGCAAATCTAACCACCGTAAAACCTCGGCTTAGACACCAGAGAACAGCTTCATGTAGAACAAGCAATTCAACCAACAAAGGATCGACCAACACCGGAAACTGCACTCAAGCAGCCAAGAGGATTTCCCCACTTTGATCTTGAACAACCATCCCGACGGCCGAATGAGACCCACTCTTAGTTGCCCCGTCCAACATACAGACTACCGTATTTGGGTGATCAACCTCCACAGACAGAGCCGGAAGGATAGAACCCTGCAGACTCTGGGCTGGTAACAAACTAACTCATTCCTTATATTGCTTATGGAATTGACGCATTAGAGCAGGGATGTCAAACTGTTTGCCCAATATTTTAAATTTGTTACAAATCATATATGTGATTTTACTTGCATAGCAAAGTTGATGAGGTTACTGCTCCTTGCTTCAACCTAACTGCGGCCTAACAGTAAGAGGGAATTTTTTGTAGCATTTTTTCTTCCAAAAAGCATATATAATCGGTCTTCTTTGATTAATTACGGGGTTTTATCGTTTGATTAATTGCACATGGGATGGGATGGCCCTTTAGTACTAGTACTGTTTCTTCTTATTGACCTATAGTACCTTTTTTATTCTTTTTTTTTTTTTTTTTTTGGTCAGGCTTTAGCTGGTTCTTTAGGAATTGGGAAAGATGATAATGAGGAGGAATTAGGAGGAACATCGTTTTCTTTTCTTTCCATCTAGAAATCATTTCATTTACTCAGACAACTGGACAAATTAGTAGTGGTACATGCATGATTGCTATTGATTTAGAAATTAGAAAGAAGCTAGGAAAAAAAAGGGTATTTGATCATGTTTGGTCTTAAAAATCTTTTGTGAATCAACTATAAGGATCCATTGAGTTATCATGATAGTAGATTAATAGTACTTTATCACCTCTTGCAAAGAGAGGTCAATTTTGTCCAACCTCATGGATATTTTACTATAAAATCCTATTAGGATTGGTATGAAATCCAAATATATGGTAAATGATTAGAGTTTGATGGGTATATACTCATACTCATTTATTTGGATTGAGTTGAGTTTGTACCATACTCATTTGGAAATTACAGTTTGGTACCTAAACTTAACAGATCGTTAGATTTAGTACATAAATTTAATTTCTTGCATATGAGTCCTCCAATTATTGATGAAAAATTATATTTTAGTTCCTATAATTTTATGCATTACATTTTGATACCTGAACTTTTTAAGGTTTTACACATATGTCCAATTTTTGTATGTGTAGTTAGCAACCTCAAGTAAATGGGTATCCATACCCAACTCGTGCACATTTAGAGTATGAAAGCAATATCCATATATGCTAACCAAACCCATCTACAAAACCCCAAACTCATATATACTTCACCCATCGTTACCCATAATCAATGACTTTATTTGAATTTAGGTAAAATTACTCATGATAGTGTAATTTTCATCCCTACGATGACACAGTGAGTAATCATTATGGTAGTATGATCATCTCACAATACATTATCATTTCCTATCTCTATGGCACAGTGAGTTACGATGATTGCATGGAGTAATATGGTGTTGTATGGTCATATCCCAGTAAGTTATCATCTCATACCAAGAAGGGAGAGTGAGTTATCATGGCGGTATGAGGTGGTACAATTAGAGCTGTCAAAATGTAACCCGACCCGTGTAACCCGCCCGATCAATCCGACCTTCAACCTGCTCGCAATCCGATTTGACTAAAAGTCAATGACCCATAACCCGCGCCGACCTGCAATCCAATCGACCCGCAACCTGATCGACCCGCAATCCAACTAACCCGAACTCGTAACCCGACCAACCCGCAGCCCGACTATAATAAAAGGAATTCGATGAAGATAAACCAAAAGTTGACATTTGAAATTCTAGTTCACTAAAGTCTGATCATTACATCATCAATTATTAACTTAGTATAATAATATACATCATCAACCTATTAACGCATATAATATCATCAAATATTTATTTAGATACATCATCAACCTAATAGTGCACATAACATTATAAAATATTAATTTAGCATAATAAGATAATTATAAGATTTAAAATCCAAATATCATGGTCCTGTCATAAAAAAAGACTAATAATAGTTCACAAAAGTCTGATCATAACAAGAATACATTACTCATAATCGTTCATAATGTCTCAAGACCTCAAATATCAATAAAAACATGTCCAAAAAATAAATTGGCATTCCAAATGAAGATCATAACAAGAATACATGACTCATAACACTACAGGAAAAAGGTCATTTAATCATGGGAATAGTTGGACTCGGTCGCTGGAAACGAGAGCATTTCTCACTCATGGTTTCTCTCAGATCAGCTCATACATACACATAAATTGGGTTGAGGGACAAAGCACAAAACCTGCTTAGGGCCCAAACTTGCAAAAATAAGGCAGGATAATTCATTGGTCAATTTTGTTTGAGCCAAAATGAACTTTTCGTTGGTGGGCACTTTTTTGGAGCCAGCCCAAATTTTCACACCTAAATTTTGGGTAAGTTTGTTTTTCTTTTTTTTTTTTTCTGAGCCAAAGAAATTTTAGAGCCAACCCAAATTCTCCCACCTAAATTTTGGGAAAGTTTGTTTTTTTTTTAGCCAAAGAAATATTGGAGCCAACTCATATTCTCCCAACTAAATTTTGGGAAAGTTTGTATTGCTAAAATATTCATATTATTCACGGTAATTAACCATGACTGATTATTAGTCACGGGAAGTGAAGATTAAAAATAGGTAAATTAATTCCCGTGATTGTAACTATAAAATTAATTACGGAAATTAATTGAGGAGTTTAATTAACATCATAACAAAATAAAAGCTATACAAATCTAATTGATCATATCACATGATCTAACCATGCAAAGATATAAATAAAAGCTATACACATCTAATTGATCATATAACATGATCTAACCATACAAAAGATATTGGAAGTTTTAGATTACAGGGCTTCTTATAGAAAAAAAGTTTTAGATTAAAATTCTACAAAATAATGTTGAGTAGTTTTTATCCTTCGTCCCTCGAAACAAGATTCACATTCCACCAACTACATGTTCAGCAACTTCAGCTTCATCTCTACAGAGCCTGTAATATATATACCTTGTCAAAATGGGTGGTTCATTTTGCTAGCATCCGCACAAATTGCAGATACGTAAGAAAGTTAGTGAATTCTTTGAAATTCATCAATAACATGTGTCAAATTGTTGAGCATTGCAAACGATTATTTTACCTCTTCAATAGGTGGACGAACTCAAGAGTTAGCACTTTTCTGGGTTCTTGTACAACTCCAGTCAAATACGTTGCATCTAGGAGCAGTTATACCTCTCTGAGTCAAATACAGCTCCATGTCTCGGACTCAACGGCTGACAGACAAAGATCCGAAGCAGAGAGTGGTGGCGGCCTTTTGTCGGAAGTAGAGACCAGCAAGGCGGCCGATGTTGGCAAGAAACGAGAGGAAAGGGTTAGGTTCTTCTCGTCGGAAGTAGAGACGAGCAAGGTTGTGGGTTATTGGGCGAGGCCGGGGCCAGGGGCTCGAACGGAGAGGAGTTCGCTGTCTGGAGGTGGGTTTCGCTGTTTTGGAAAAAGGGGTTGGATTTCGACGGACGGGAGCAAAGACGGGGGCTGGTTGTTAGGGTTTAGGTTAATTAAGGGTGAAGGGGGTGAGATTTTGCACTTGCGGCAGGCCAAAAATTTTTAGAACAGAAAAGGAGCGGCAAAAATTATTGGAGGCAAATGTTGGAGCCAATTCAACAAAAAGAAGTGAAAATTTTGGAGCCCTCTCAAGCCAAAGTGAATTCGAAGCAAAGTGAATTCTCCCTCCAAGAATTTTAATAAATTGTTGTTAAAGAAATTGCTAATTGCTAAATTGTTTTTATATTTAAGCGATAGATATAACCTAGAAATATTTAAGCCATAGATTTAGCAACCCAAAAATTAATTGTGGTTTAGTGTTACGGATAATAGAGCAAATACAACATATAATTGATTTGAGTTGTGTAAACTACTTAATAGCAACTTTAAAAAAAAAGTGTTGCTATCATCTAAGGCAACTTTTTCACTCAGTGTAGCAATCTGAGTGTTACGAGAGGGTTTTTTCGCAACTTCAAAAAAAAGTGTTGCTATTGTATATCTAAGGTAACTCTTTCACAAAGTGTTGCAATCTAAGTGTTGCAAGAAGGTCTTTTTCTCGTAGTGGTCAAAATCATAACTAATAAGATCAACTTTTATTATTAACATATGTTCATGAATCAAACCGGCAGGGGGTTTAGGGTATAGGTTATAGAGTCGACTTGTAGGGTATATGGTTAGAGTATAATGTATAAATGGTTTAGCCACGATTAGTCAAAATCATAACTAATAAGATCAAATTTTCTTATTAATATATATTCATGAATCAAACCATTAGGGGTTTAGGGTATAGATTATAAAGTCGACTTATAGAGTATAAGGTATTAATGGTTTAGCCATGATTAGTCAAAATCATAACTAATACGGATCAAGTTTTTTTTATTAACATATGTTCATCAATCAAACCATTAAGGGTTTAGGGTATATGATATAGAGATCGACGTATAGGGTAATGGGTTAGGGTTAAGGTATTAAACTATTAATGGTTTAGCCAAGATTAATCAAAATCATAAATAATAAGGATCAAGTTATTTATTAACACATGTTCATGAATCAAATCATTTGGGGTTCAGGGTATAGACTATTTAGAGTTTAGATTATATGTTATCGAGTAAATTTATAATTGAACTCACAACAATTTTTGTAAATTTTATAATTTATTTTAATACAAAAATCATATAAATAATTAACTAGCTAAAACAACAATTTCTCTATACATTTATATGAACAATTTCACTTGTTTTTAAAAAATTAAAAAAAAATTTTAAAACTTTTCTCTCCAAATTTTGGTTTCCCCCAATACTACTGCCCAAAAATTTGATTCCCCCCACCCGCCGAGACCCGCCAATAATTTCCCCTGTAATGTTTCCCCAAAATTTTGTTTGCCCCCACCTTAGAGTCTTTGACTTTGAGTAGTGATTTCTTTTTTTTTTTACAAGTATTGTGCTAGCTTCATATAGTTACGATTTACGACTAACTAGTAATCACTAAAAAGTAACGCGATGTTCTGGTCCGTAAAACCCGCAACCCAAACCGCCAGACCCCAACCCGATTGACCCGATGAGATAGACCCGTAACCCGATTGGCTCGCAACCCGATTGGCCCAGAACCCGATTGAACCCACAACCCGATCAACCCGAACCCGATGAACTCGCAACCCGATCGAACCGCAGTCCGACCAACCCGCAACCTGAATAAACCTAGCCCGAACCCGCCGGAACCTGCCAGATTGACACCTCTAGGTACAATGTGGTACGATTATATGACAATACATAGTCACCTTCTGTGGTCAAGACATTGTAAGTTATCATGGTGATATGGGTTAGTATGATTATGCCACAATAATTTCATGGACGGAGCTGGAGCGTGGCCGGTGGCCCCCTCGTCTAAACTATTACAAAATAACTTAGGGGTCGTTTGGATGGATCAAATTAAAAATGAGTCAATTTGATTAATTGTCTCATTTTATAAACGAGGCAATTAAAACGAGTCAATTCGAATTACCTGCCTTCATTCCAGGTAATTGAAATTGACTCAAAACGGATCAATTCAAAATACCACAGGCAGATTGATCCATCCAAATTTTTTGCTGGCAAACGAGGCAATTTGACACAATTGTCTCAAAATATAATGAATTTACACGTTGTTGCTAATAATCATCGAACCTCCGCCCTATTTAAAATTGAAACTAAATGCCATTAGACTACGGCTTTCGTTGCGTTGCATCCGCTCGTTTGGATGAGGAATTGTAATGGATCGATTTGACACGATTCATTATGTTTTGATTCTTAATCCCAAATTTTGTATGCATTACGATTTGGTACCAAAACTTTCCTTTTGGTACATCTTTTTCGTCAAAATTATTACGTCTTACACTAAGTCAAGATAAGCTTTATGTGTCAATATTTTGGTAATATGTGTTGATCGATAGATAGCATAATAAATTTTCTCAACATTTTTTACCGGCCCCCCTTCTCTAATTTCAGTCGGATGGCTAGGGACGAATTGCTTCCTCAGAGCTGGTTCGGTAGACCTGAAAAGCGTTATAGATTGGTTTAGCGGCTTTGACTCCGCCCCTCAATAATTTACATCTTTACATTCATGGTACACAGTGGCGGAGCCACTTGGAGAGGAGGGGGTGCTTTGCACCCCCCTTGGGTTTGGAGAAAAAATTTCCGAGTAGGGGTATATACAAATTTGAACCAATGACCATTCAGTTGGTGGAAAAATTTCTTATCATTTCGATCGAGTGAGTTTTGTTATGTAATGCACTTTCGTCTTTATTTATAGTAATAAATTGTTGTCTTTTGTTTAAACTCGCTCTTTTTTTTTTGTAGCTCTACAACAGAGAAATTTCTTGTCTTTTGTTTAAACAAAGTTGAAAGTGAAGAAGTACCAATTGAAGTTCACTTGTTTGTTTCACAAAATCAATTCCAAGGTACTTCTGAGTTCTAATTTGTAATATTTGATGAATGGAAGTCTTGATTTGTATGTACTGAACTTATTTGTTTGACGTTGTAACCGGTGTATGTGAAACTATTTTAATGTAATTGTGTGAATTTAGAGTATTGCGTTGTTGACTTTTTGTTTAATTTAAAGTTGACTTTTCTATTGTATAGGTGATTTTTTATGATATGATAAAGACACCCCCTTGGCCAATTTCCTAGCTCCGCCACTGATGGTACACATATATATTTGAACAGTAGCACGTTGAATAATGATGCTTCCATCAGACTATATATGTTGATGGACGATTCTTCGATTGTAGATTTTGAAGCATTTTTCATAGTACTTGTAATTTTCTTTCAAGATTCATAGAAATTTTAGAGGAGTGCAAGATTAGGGATGGCAACTTTGCCCATACCCATGGGTTTCTTACTATCCAACCCACTTGGGTTGGGTATGAAATCCAAATAGATGGATATGGGTAGAGTTTGATGGGTTTGTACCCATACCCATTTACTTTGGGTTGAGTTGGGTTTATATCAAATGGATTTGGGTTTGTACCAATGCCCAAATACAAATTACAGTTTGGTACCCAAACTTAATAGACATGCATATTTAGTACCTAAATTTAATTTTTTTTGCATATAAGTCCACAAAATATCGATGGAAAATTATGTTTTGGTACCTATATTTTTTTGGTCTTACATTTTGGTACCTAAACTTTTCAAGTTTTGCAAATAGGTCCAATTTTTGCATGTGTAGTTAAAACACCCTCAAGTAAATGGATATCCATATCCAACCCATACCCATTTAGATTATGGAAACCCCAAACCCAAACCCATCTATAAACCCCCAAATCCATATGCACTTCACCCATACCCAACCCATTATCAATGGGTCTACTTGGGTTTGGGTATAATTACCCATGGGTTGGTAATTTGCCATCTCTATGCAAGATGCATATATATTCGACCTATAGCATGTTGATGAAAGATGCTATAGACTGTAGTATGTGGTAGGGGTGGTTATTTGGTCTGCGTTTTTTGGTTTTATCCGAAACCGAATTATATAACTCGGATTGAGACCGGATAGCAAACAATCCAACCTCATCTTTGGTTTTAGATTTGAGGTAAAAAAAAAACCGTTCGAGACCGGATCGAAAACCAGATAAATCCAGGACCAACTCCTTACCCTTTCAGGCCTCACACCACTCAAATCCCCACAAAATCAATCTAAATTCAAGATCGAATTGCGACCGGACTGTATCCAATCCAATTTTTGATCCTTATATTCCTGAGACCGGATCAATTCCGCCCAATTTAACCTGACCAGACTATATAGCCATCCCTAGTATGTTGATGGAGTATATATGATTTCAAATTTTTTCACAGTTCTTGAGATTTTGTTTAAAGATTCGGAGTTATTTGAGAGAGGAGTGGGAGATGGAGAGTTTTGAGTGAGAGTAGAGAGAGCAGAGAATCAGAGATAGTCGTGTTTTTGTTTCGTTAGAGAATAGTGAGAGAGAGGTGTTGAGTGTCGAACAATGTCAAACATGGGTCATCATTTAATGGAAGGTTTTACGTTTTATGCCCCTTGGTGGCCTGGGAATGCAAATCGGACAACTAGTACTCATATGTAACAGACAGTAGTTGCTAGATAGATTATGTAGGGTTATGGATAGTCACCGGACCAAATTAGAAACTCTTTTATAGGCTGAATTACACGATTCTATCACTGAAATTACACAATTTTTTTATGTTTGTCATCTAAATTACTTTTTTTTCTTATTCGCTACTAACTTTACGAATCGTTTCACCATTACTCACCGGCCGTTAGTCTCCGTCAAATTCCGTTAAAACCGTCAGTTTTTTTAACGTGACAAACTGAACTACTGATTGAATCGTTAACTTCATGACATGTCAATTTAAAAATTAAAAATTAATTAGTACCCCATCCTCATCTTCTAGCTCTGCACATCGTGAACGACTTCAGCTGGGCTTCGTCGCTTTGACTAGTCAACGATCTACCCATCGGTTTCCGCTATGCCGCAGGGTCCTAGTCTACGAGCAATCTGTTCTAGTCAACTCCGCCGATCCGGTCTCCGTTCCCATCGTCGGTTCAATCACCGTCGATGAAACCCTGCCTATGCTTTGAGGATGAGGACCAAGAGGCGTTTGCCGCTTTGAGCTCCGTCCCAAACCCTCACTGGGCCATCCATGAGTAGAGGACCCTCGATCTGAAGCTGAAGCCGCTCACTTCCCTCCCCAAAACCGTCACCGCTGGATCTCCCGCCGCGGCTCGAAGCTCCAGCCCCAGACTTGGCGGCGAATCTGGTTCCGAAATTTTTTCTGCACAGAGACGGAGCTGCGTCAATGACACCGTTTCGCGTGCCTCGACCTCCACGAAAACCGCCTCGATGGCACCGTTTCGCAGATCCCCAACTCCTCCAACCTCAAGCTCCTCTACCTCGCAGGGAACGACTTCTCCGGCGAGATCCCTCCGTGGATCTCCTCCCTCCACCGACTCCTCCGTTTAGCTTATCGGAAAGCAACCTCGACGGTTTAATCCCTTCCGAAATTGTAAATCTGACCTTTCGAAATTGTAAATCTGACCAAGCTATTGACTCTTCGGTAACGCGCTCACCGGCCGAATTTCGGACATCTCCGGTTACATCCCCGGATTCAAAGAGTTGCATCTGTCCAACCACGAGCTGTACGGAAGAGTCCCCGATGGGTGTGCGGAGAAATTGGTCCGACGAGGCTTCTTCGGGAACGAAGGGCTATGCGGATCCAGTCCGCTGAGTTCACTCCTCGTGTGTTCATTTACATAATGGAGTTCTTATTTTTTTTGTTTTTGTTTTTGGTGAGATGGAGTTCTTAAATTTAATTATTTATATTTTATTCATTCCATGGGGAGAGAGAGGATGAGGATGGGTTCAAATAGACATGTCATTAAGTTAACGGTTCCGTCAGCAGTTCTGTTTGCTACGTCATCAAAAAACTGACGCTGTTAACGGAAGCTAACGAAGACTAACGGGTGAATCGATTCATAAAGTTAGTGGCGTGTAAGAAAGAAAAACAATTTATGTTGCAAACATGAAAATTTATGTAATTTGAGTGACCAAGTGTGTAATTTAGCCCTCTTTTATAAGAAGCTTTTAAAAGAAATCAACAATAACAAGTTGAGGCTTGGAACTTGGAAGTGACCATGCAAGAATGACATTGAAAGTAGGGATGACAATTACCCACCCATGTGTAATTTTATTTAAACCCAAGTAGACCTATTGATTATAGGTTAGGGTATGAGTTAAGTATATAATGGGTTTGGGGTTGTAGATGAGTTAGGGTAGGATTTGGATTTTGCTTTCATAATCCAAATGGGAGTGTTATTAAAGCCGCCCCGAGCCGATCGGTCGGACCGGTAAAATCGGCACCTAGACGCCAGCCCGGTTTGGCACACCCCAAAAGCCGTAGCTGTCAGAATTACCAGTTTTTGAGCGTTCAAAATGGTTAACCATTCGAGCCGCGCGAACCATCCGAGCGGTTTTTGACTTCTGGCCGTCTGAAAGTAAGAAACAAAATCGAATGAAAATTTATTGAGTTCAGATTCAATGACTCGCGTTGAGTGGGTTGATTTCTCAACCTTCTTCAACTTTACCTCCTTCCACGCTCCGATCAGAACCCCATCGACGTCTAATCTCACCTTCGTCTATCCTCCTTTCGCTTTTCTCTGGTTGTCTTCAGAGAGAAAGAAAAGAGGAAAGGTTAGCGAGTAAGAGTGAGAGAGGCAGATCGAGAGTTTGAAAGACGTAACAGATTGAGGAAGAGTGAGATGATTGTTAGGTTTTGTTTTTGTTAGTGTTTTTCGCAAGAAGAGGGGGGAAGAAATTGGAACAGAGAGAGGGGGTGGGGTGAGCCGTGAGCGTCGCTGCTCATAGAAGTGGGTTGGTGTAGGGTTTTGGAATAGAGAGAGAGGGAGGTTGATGGTGAGCGATGCTGCTAATAGAGGTGGGTGGGAGTATATGTGTTCTTTTTAGCTCCTTGGTACAACTTAACAACACATTCATCTTATTTTTTCGAAATTGGTTTGTAAAAAGATGACGATTAATAACACCATTTTTATCAATCGTTTTGATCATAATCAATTAGATTAAGTATGAGTTTATTAGAATTTTCTTGTATTTTAATTATTTATGAAACTTGTGTTGGTACAGCTTCAAAAATTCATCTAAGGAGCACTATTTACAAAAATATTATAACTAAAAATGTATGAATTAGTTTTAATACTAAAGTTTATCATCACATTTACAAATATTGACTAAAATTTAAATTTAGATTATTTAAGTCTAATTTTCTTTCAATCAGAGTATGTAACATACATTAATCACATTCCTAAAACAAAAATGTTAAATAGTCAATTCGAAAAGAATACTTCCGCTACCTTCCTTTTTTTTTTATTTTATAATCAACATGTGCCTTTCTTTTGTTCATACCTTCCTTTGATAAGAAACTTGATTGATTTCATTATATTTGGGTTGCTATTTTTATAAGATCTCCAACACGAGAAATTGGAGGGGATAAACTTCGTAACCGTTTAAGTTGCCGAAATTATTAATTTAAAAAAGTAATCGCAGTTGCCGTAATTATCAATAAAAAATATATTAATAAGATTACTCCAAATCAGTGCCGAAAGCACGGTGAACGGCAAGTATCCCAACGTAAATGGAAACTTTATTCTCCTTGTCCTTGATTCTGTAATTTATTTGATATATGTACTTCATAATTCATATTTGCACTGCAAGAAGAATTTTTTTAGCAGTTCATCTCCCAATGAAGGTTTAGTACGCTGAGTTAATCATCAGTAATAGCTTATGCATGAGTTCTTTCAAAATACTTGTATCCTCGTTAGGTATCGGATCTGTTCTTCTTTATTCTTCTACTTTGTCAAGCTCCATGAGCAGAAGAGAAGAGAAGGAAGAAGATGAAGAAGAGTCCCCTGATTGGCAACGGTCGACTGAGCAAGGAGGGAAAGCTCAAAGACAAAAAGGAAAGAGCAGTGTAATTGGAAACGACAACGTTTAGCATATATTTGTATAGATTTATTTATTCCTTTATTATTAGCTGTAGCTAGTTGTAGAGAGCCACTTGTCTTGTTTTAGTTGGACAAGGTGGTTATGTTAGTTTGTCCTGTAGCTCTGTTTTCACTGTACATATTCTGCCTCAAGGCTGCAATGGAAAGCAAGAAAGCATTCCACAAAAATTCTGCTTTGATCAATTATTCTCATGGTATCAGAGCCTCTGGCTTACCTCACCTAGGGTTTCGTGACCTCTCGAAAGCGCATCAATGGCGGCGACGCAAGACGAAGCCACTACAGACACAACTCGAGTCATCACAGGAGCACAGAATCCTGTCACTCTGCAACAACGACAAGCAGTGGATCCTTACTACATTAACCCGAATGAAAACCTGTCTCAAGGTATTATTTCCATCAAACACGACGAAACCAATTATCATGTATGGAGTAGATAAATGAGAATAGCACTTAAGACCAAGAAGAAACTTGGGTTTGTTAATGGCACATTACCTATGCCTGAACCAACAGATCCAGATTATGAAATCTGGGATCAGAGTAACACCAACGTGATGGGTTGGATTTTGAATTCATTGATTGATCCCATAGCTGAGGCTGTGATGGATAATGAGACTGCTCAGGAATTATGGAAAGATCTGCAGGAAAGATATGGACAAGCAGATTCAGTAAGATTGGCTCATGTAAAAGGGCTGATTGCATCTTGCAAACAGGAAAAGAGTACCGTGACTGAGTACTATAACAGATTGGGTGTATTCTGGACAGAATACATGTCATTCAAGTCCATTCCACCATGTGAATGTGGTGACACACCTCACACTATGAACTGTGCAACATATGCTGCAGTAAAAGAATCTCAGGAACATGATCATACCATTGACTTCATCATTGGCCTAAGCGATGCCTTTGAAATGACCAAGAATCAACTTATGATGATGGATCCAGCTCCAAGCCTCAAGGTAGCATACAAGTATGCTCTCAAACTGGAAAGGCAGATGACAAAACAACCACCCAAAGAGGGAGCAGGAGTGGATTCAGTAGCATTGGCTGCCACAAACCAAGGAAGAAATAGAGAACAAAGAACTGAGTATCCAAGAGGAGGAAGACAGAACACCTATCAAGGAAACTATCCTAACAATCAACAGAGAGGAACCAACGAAACAGGAGGAGGTGGCCAACAGAATCTGTTCTGTAACTACTGCAAAAGAACTAACCATGTCATAGCAGACTGCTGGAGACTCAAGAGAAAGAGAGGAGAGTTGGCAGGACCAAACTTTGCTGGAGCAGCCACATCAGTTGGTAATCATGATCAAGGAATCAATAGCTTCTCAGCTGCAAATGAACAGGACAACAGAAGTCAGAATACCACTACAATACAACTCACAACAGAGGATTGCAGCAGACTGATGATGCTGTTACAACAAAACACTGGAAGTCAAGCAACAAACCAACCAAACATTCAACCTCAAGCTCACTCAGTTTCAAGACACATTAATCAGATGCCAGACAATGCAGGTAAATTCATCCTATCTACCTTTACTGCCTGTCAACAGAAGGAGTTGTTGAATAGTTGGATTATTGATACTGGAGCATCTGACCACATGTGTTGTAGCCTTTCCCTTTTCACCACACACTGCCCTGTTGAAAATGTGTTTGTTACCTTACCAACCAGTGCCAAAATCAAGGTAGCACACATTGGAACAGTTAGAATCAATGATAACCTGACCCTAAACAATGTTTTACATGTTCCCAGTTTTACTTTCAACCTCATTTCTGTCAGTTCCCTAACCAAAACTCTACCTATCACCCTAAGCTTTCAATCTGACTTCTGTGTTGTTCAGGACCTTCATACACAGAAGAATATTGGTTTTGCAAAAGAGCTTAGAGGACTATATCACCTACACTCAGCCATTCACAACCCTGAACCAGCCATCAACTTAGTAGCAGCAGTGAGCAACTCTGAGAGTCAAGACATGCATTTGTGGCATGCTAGATTAGGGCATCTTTCCAATTCCAGAACCAGACTATTTCAAAAATGTAATCCAGAATTACTAGTGAATCTTGTTGATCACTGTGAGACTTGTCATTTAGCTAGACAAAAGAAATTGCCTTTCTTTTCCAGTACTCACATCAGCAAAGAACCTTTTGAACTCATACATTGTGACATCTGGGGTCCCTTAAATACTACCTCCTATGATGGTTTTTCCTACTTCTTGACCATTGTAGATGACTTCTCCAGAGCATTTTGGACTTACCTCATGAAAATTAAATCTGAGGCAAGACCACTCTTGCAACAATTCTGCACAATGGTGCATAAACAGTTTGACAAACCTGTAAAAACCATACGATCTGACCAAGGGAAGGAATTCCTCATGGCAGATTTCTTTAGAGAACACAGAATCACTCACCAAATGTCCTGTGTTGAAAGACAACAACAAAATGGAAGGGTAGATAGGAAACATCAGGACATTTTAAACATAGCAAGAGCCCTGAGATTTCAATCCAATGTTCCTTTAACCTTCTGGAGTGATTGCATACTCTATGCACTTCACATCCTCAACAGACTTCCCACACCCATTCTCAACAATAAAACCCCTTTTGAAAAACTCTATAACCAACAACCAGATTACAAACCACTTCGAGTCTTTGGCTCACTATGTTATGCTGCTACCATAGAATCAGGAAGAACTAAGTTTCAACCACGAGCTAGAAGAGGGATATTCCTTGGCATACTGCCAGGAATCAAAGGATACAAAATATATGATCTCTCAACTAAGCAAATTTTTGCTTCGAGAGATGTATCATTCCATGAATATATTTTCCCTTTTGCATCCACTATTCCACCTAACACCTCTGAAACCCCATCATCCAACACCAATCCTCCTTCTGTTCCTTCATTCTCCTCACCTCAGCCTTTTTCCCAAACCCCAGCACATGTTCATTTGCATACAGGTCATAATTCAGCTGATCACACAGCCCCTACTGATGCACAGTCACCAGGTTTCATTGACTTTGAAACCATGGATGAACACCATGCTGAGATTCATAATGAAGAGGAACCAGAAGGAGAAGGGGGGATAGACACAGCAACTCAATCACCTCAAGCACCTATTTCCTCAAGGAAACCTTCTACTCCATTGAGGAAATCAGGCAGAACAAGCAAACCACCCTTATGGCATCAAGATTATTTTGTTGGAAACTCTCAGACTAAGTATCCAATATCATCCTTCATGGATTACACTCAACTCAGTCAGGAATACAAACATTACTCTCTTGCAGTAGCTAACCTACATGATCCACAGACTTTTGATGAAGCCATGATGGAAGAATGTTGGAGAGAAGCAGTGAAGGAAGAATTGAGGGCACTGATAGCCAATCATACATGGGACATAGTAGATTGTCCAGTTGGAAAGAAACTTATTGGAAACAAGTGGATTTTTAAGACCAAGCTACTGGCAGATGGTGCAATAGAGAGGTATAAAGCAAGACTCGTGGCACAAGGATTCACTCAGATACCAGGAGTGGATTTCCTGGACACTTTCTCACCAGTAGCAAAGATCAATACCATCAAAATCCTCATGGCAGTGGCAGCTGTCAAGAATTGGCACTTGAGCCAGATGGATATCAGTAATGCTTTTCTAAACGGAGACTTAGAAGAAGAGGTCTACATGAAAATACCATTAGGAATCGAAGGAATGGAAGGGAAAGCCTGTAGGCTAAGAAAATCCCTTTATGGATTGAAGCAGGCAAGCAGGCAGTGGTATGCCAAGCTGACAGAAGCACTGGTACGTTTTGGATACACTCAATCCTATTCAGACTATTCTCTTTTCACTAAGAAGAATGAAAAAGGAATTGCAGTGATCCTAGTGTATGTAGATGACTTGATTTTCTCTGGAGATAATGAAGAACTCATTCAGGAATCCAAGGATTTTCTATCTAAGCAATTCAAAGTGAGAGATCTTGGGAAGTTAAAATACTTCCTTGGACTGGAAGTGGCTAGAAGCAGTTCTAGGATTTCAGTGACTCAAAGGAAGTACTGTCTAGACTTGCTTAAAGACACAGGGTTTCTAAATGGTAAACCGTGCAAAACTCCATCAGACATGAAGACTAGACTAACACAGTTTGATGATGAACCAGAAGTGGATCCACATCAATACAAATCACTGATTGGAAGGCTAGGCTATCTAACAACAACGAGACCAGACATATCCTTTGCTGTTCAGCAACTATGTCAGTTTCAAGCTCAG